AGAATTGTCCCTCAACCTTCATTCAACTCATTTCTCTGTGACCTGTGAAATGTGGGCAACAAGCTTCCATTGTTTTGTAATAAGATGGGTCAAAAAGAGTGATACTGTATACATGATTTTTTTTTTTCCAAGTAAAATAAACAAGGATGGGTGTCTGGGGCTAGAGGGGAATTGTGAGCAACCTTGAGTGGTAGAGAACCAGCAGCGGTGTCTGCGGGTAATCAGGAGCCAGTGACATGCAGACCTACCTCCAAGGATGACTGCAAGTCAAGGAAGTTCGTGCAAGAGCCTCGGATGGGCGCGGTGACTCACGCCTGTCATCCCAGCGACTTGGGTGGTAGAGGCGAGAGGATTGCCTGAGCCCAGGGTTTTGAGACCAGCCTGGGCAACACGGCGAGACTTCATCTCCACAATAAGTCAAAAAATTAACCAAACGAGGTGGCACATGCCTGTTACCCTCGTTCACACACACACACACACACACACACACACACACACACACACACAACTACTAATAGGTCCTTCACATTAGACCATAAAATATCAAGATCCTCATCCTAACACTTTCCTGTGAAGCATCTAGTTTATATTATAGAAATTTCAAACAATGCTTTTTAAAAAAATCTCTAAGTTTATCAAAAGTTACTAACAAAAGTTTTTAAATACTCCAATTATTTATAAGTTTAATTTATTACAATACAACCAATATCTATAACATAAAACATCGACATGTAATTTTTAAAATTATGTGATAAATACTAAAGTTGGAGGACTCACACTACCTAATTTCTAGACTTACTACAACGCTATGGTTACCAAGACAGTGTAGTACTGGTGAAATAACAGACACGCAGATTGGAGGGACAGGAAAAATCCACACAATATTAAGTCTACTGATTTTTTACAAAAGGACAAAGATAATTCAATGGAGAAAGGATAGTCTTTTTAACAAATGGTGCTGAACAACTGAATATTTGCATCCAGATGCCAAATGAACTTCGACCTTCAACCCACATCATACACTTTACACAAAAACAGATCTATAACCTTTTACTTTTAAGTAATACTACAAAACATCTAGAAGAAAACATAAAACATCTTCATGACTGGGTTAGGTAAAGACTTCATAGAGATGATACCAAAAGACATGACTCCTAAAAGAACATTTTTTATAAAACGGGCTTTATCAAAATTAAACACGTTTGCTCTGCAAGAGAGAATGAGAAAAGACTGGGAGAAAATATTTCCAAATCACATATCTGACAAAGAACTTGTAACAAAAGAGCTCTCAATACTCAACTATAAGAAAAACACTTTGGAAAAGAGTTTGGCAGTTCCTCAAAATTTTAAACATAGAATTATCAGATGACCAGCAATTCTACTTCCAGGTATATACCCAGGAGAATTTAAAACACATGTCCACAAAAAAAACTCGTACATGAATGTTCATAGTGGCATTATTCATAATAGTCAAAAAGTGAGAATAACCTAAATGTCCATCAACTGGTATTTGTATAAACAAAATGTAGTACATTTATACAAAGAACATTACTTAACCATAAAAGGGAATGAAATATTGATATTTGTACATTCCACAAATGAATGAACCCTGAAATATGTTAAGTTAAAGAAGCCAAAACCAAAAGGCCACCTGTTATATTATTCCATTCAGATGAGATGTCCAGTATTGGCAAATCCATAAAGACAGAAAGTAGATCAGTAGCTACCCAAGATGGAAGGAGGAGTGGGAGAGAACTAGGAGTAACGGCTAATGGGCATAACCGCACCTCTGCACTTCAGCCTGTGTACACAGTGAGACCTGGAAAACAAACAGTTGCCAGTAGATGAACACTTCACCAATGGAAATATACAAACAGTAAAAAAAGAACATGAAAAGATGTTCAACACCATTAATCAATCACTAAGGAAATGCAAAGTATAACCACAATGCTCTACCACTACATACCTATTAGAATGGCTAAAAAAAAGTTTTTTTTAATGGCAATACCAAGTGCTGTAAGGATGGAGAGCAACTAAACGCTGATACGATGTTGGTGTGACAGCAAAATGATACAGTCACTTTGAAAAGCAGTTTCATAGTTTCCCACTACTTCTTACTACTTCTAAATAGTTATTATATTTACCATGTGACCCCGGAATTCTAATCTTAGGTCTTTACCCAAGAGAAATAACAATTTATATTCACAGAAACCCATAAGTGAATGTTTATGGCAGTTTTATTCATAATCTTCAAAAAATTAAATATCCAACAGGCACACAGATAAACATTTACAGTACATCCACAGAATGAAATACTATCCAAAAATAAAAGACTGAAATACTTGATGAATGCAATATATAGGTAACTTTCAAATGCATTTTGTGCAAAAAGTCAAAGAAGTGAAATTAAGAAGCCAGACCCAAAAAGTTACATACCTTATAATTCCATTTACATGCACTCTAGAAAAGGCAAAACTACAGGGATGGAAACAGTTCAGTGGCTGCCAAGAGGTGAGGTGGGGTCAACTACAAAGGGGAAGCTGCAGGAATTTGGACACTGAATGGGATTTTTTTGTGTCATTGCAATGGTAGATACATGCCTCTTAGCATTTGTCAAGACAGATAGAAACTGTATCACAAGAGTAAGTAAGTTTTAAATAAATAAGTTGATTAATCACACTCTACACAAACCTCCACCTTAAATGCCTAAGTAACTTTCCACAACAGATCAAAGCATACCCTAAACATTTTTATGGCATCCTTCTGAGGTAGAGACAAGTTTTATTATTTTCACGTTACAAGTGAGAAGCAGCCTAGAACAAACATTCAATAAGTTTTGAGTATTAATCAGAGAGGTTGAGCTATCACTTATGTCCCTACTTTTTGAAGTCCATTCTATCATGGTCTTAGATCCCTACGACAGTAACAATTTTTTTTTTCAACCAAACTAAATTTCCCACATTTACCATACTTCATAAATGAGAAGAGTCAAGATAAACAAGTATTTTGGAAGGCTGAAGTGTGTGCATATCCAAGAACAGTTAAATTATGTGTGTGTATATATCGTACACGCTATATATATATGTGTGTGTGTGTGTGTGTATATATATATATGCAATATATATATATGCACTATATATACACTACTCACGCAAAAAAATTAACCCTCACTTCTGGCCTGGGAAACTCATTTCATAAAGGAGTCTAATCTCTAATGGGTGTTTTAAATGCAAAAGGATATAATACGAAAACAGACGGAAGCACTAAAAATGAGGGTCTGGTAGAGCACCAGAGCAAATGGACACAAGTCAAGTCCTTCGCCATCCAGGCAGCGCGGGGTCCGAGACGCCGCACGGCGCACCTCGGTTTCTTCGGCAATTTCCCGGACCCACAAACCCCAAAGCCTTGAAGATGTGGCACATGACTGGCCCGGGAGGTCAGCTGGCAAGGCACCCGTGGGTTTACGAGTTACTTGCCGCGTCGGTTTCCTTTCCCCGCTCGAACCCAGGAGTCCCGCTTCTGCGGCCGCAAGGGGGAGCCGAGAAGGCGCCGAGCGGGCCCACCACCCACTGGGGCTGGGGAAGGGAGAAGGCGACTCCGGCCGCGGCGCCTCGCCTTCACGTGCGAGGCAGCGTGCGACCCTCCGCGGGCTCCCCGGGGCCTCCGCCGCAACCCGCGAGGCGCGTGACAGCGACGGGACCAAACCCAGGAGCGCGTCGTCGCTCCTCTCGGCACTGCCGAAGGCCGACCGCGCGCGGCTGAGGGCGGAAAAAGGCGCCTCGCCCGAACTTGAGCTCCAGACCGGCGGGGCCCCCGGGCCGCTCCGCTCGGAAAAGAGACCTTCTCATCCCGCACCCACGACCCCCCCCCCCCCCATAAACAACCCGAGGGCGGAGGCCCGGGAACTGCCGCCCGGCTTTACATAACTTGACCCGGAGGCGGGCGGCGGCCGGTGGCGACCCCAGACGAGCAGGGCGCCCGAGGCCCCGGGGAGGAGGACGCGGCCCCGACAGCGAGGGCCGGGGCCGGCGAGACGGGCGCGACGGCGGCCTCGTTACCTTGCCAGATCCCCAGAGAGAGCTGGGACGTGTCCAGGTTCACCACGTAGTCCCCCAAGAACCGGTTCAGCACGTCCACGACCACCGACTCGAACATTGTCCTCAGCTGCGGGGGACAGGGCGGCCGTCCCCAGCGCTGCTTCTCCCCGCGCCTCCCCTCACGCCCCTTCCTCGAGACCGCGCAGTTCACCGGCCCGGCAGCGGCTCCGGCACTGGCGCCACCACTGGCCGGACGCGCGAGCCCGGCGAGGGGCGGAGGCGGCCGCTCGCACGACGCGTGCGCAGCTCGGCTCGTGGGTGGGGGCGGAGCGCGGCGCCGAGCCGGGCGCGCTGCCGCGCGAGGGCGGGCGGGAGGGCGGCTGCGCGGCCGCCGGGCCGACACGCGCCCCCTTCGGGCCCAGCGCGACGCCCGTCTCCCGTCGGCCCCGCCTCCTCCCCCGTCGCCTGGCAACGGGACACGTGGCACAAGCTTGAAGATTTTTTTGTTTGTTTGTTTTCCGACCCCGCCTCCTTCTGCTGACCGGAGTCTAGACCGGCGCCCCGGGCTGGGCCAGGGCGGGGCGGGGACGCCCGACGGGAACGCCCCTCCCCCTAAAAGGTGACAGCCCCGCCCCCCACGTGGGCCGGAAAGCCGGTCCCTCAGGAAGTCGGGGGCCGAGTCTAGCTCCTTCGCTGTTAGGGCGGAGGCTTTACGAGGGCGTGTCCCGAGTAGCATTTCCCCCATTAGTAGAGGTTGAGAGGTTCCGGTCAGCCTGGACCTCCTGGAGCCTGAAGATGAAGCGCCATCGGCCCTTTGGGTGACTTGACTTCCCGCTGCAAATGGGGTGGAGGCGGGAAAGGAGTAAGCGAGTGGAAGATGAAATTCCACGGCCTCTTCCCTGCTTCTGAGATGAGCACCCTTTTTTGGTCAAGTCATTTATGCGGAGCCGCCTTTCGTTCCAAAGGGTGGCACGTTTTTCTGCAGATCGCCAACCGGAAACTGCTCGAGGGGTCCTGGGCCTTCGCCCTTGAGCTTCCACGGAATGATTGACTCAACCTAAGTAAAAATCAGAGTTCTTTCAGCCCTACTTGTTTGGTCTTAGGTAGACATCCTACCAAAGGCTGAAGTCACAGAGACGTTAGATGTGAGGTTTAGAGAACTGTAATTGATTATCCTCTTAAGTGTACTTTAAGCTTTTTCTCTTTGGATGTTAAATGATTGGCGATGGCTTTCTGTTAATCCCCGTATCATTTCACTACTTTTTGTGCACAGTCACCAGATTTTTCAAAATTAAAGGCTTGGCAAGTAAACGCCTGACCAAAATGGGGTAAAACTTTACCTTAATTTATGAATCATTTCCCTATAATTTTTTATTTGAAGGACCTTTATGAGGTCTCCAACCTCTTGGTGTTAAATATAACAAAGCTGAGCTGTTAGGGATTTGCACAACTAATAAATGTGTAAGAACTTCCAGAACTCACTCCAGAAATACATCTTAAATACCTTACAAACGCTCTCATGTTAATTTTTTACAATCCAGAAAATCTCATAAAATTGGTGGTTGGGTGTGCTGTTGAAATATTAAAGGTATAAACATTCGATTGTTAAACAGAGCCATGAAAAAAGTTATACTAAGGAAGTCTTACAAATAAATAAGTGAATGCATGTTGTAACCAAATTCTTATCTAGTGTTAGATGGTTTGTCATGAACATGTTTCCTAGTTACTAAAAGATACAGTTTTACATTCAGGCCTTGGGTTGCTTAATCCATCTGAGGAAGTTTATAAGCAAAGAAAGGTATATTCATTAAATCATTAAATGAATCTTCTGTTGGACCTTGAAAAAGCCCCTGACTAACAAAAAAGTTTGAGTTTCAAATTGAGGAATATATAAGTTGTTCTTTCTCTAGATCATAACTAAAATACTATACCTCATTGTTGGATCAAATGAAAAAAGGGAGGGAAAGCATTTGAAAGACCCCAAACTGAAATATTACCCAACTTTACAATAAATTTCTAACTTTGCAAGTAGGACTTGCTGCTTTATATATAGTTTGAATGCCATCTTTGAAGTTTGGGCATGATTTTTTTTCTCCTAATCTTGTTCTTTTCTTTTCTTTTTTTTTTTTTTTGTTGAGCATGCCTGTGGTTCCAGCTACTTGGAAGTCTGAGGCGGATTTCTCCTAATCTTAATTCCACTTTTCACAAGTAAATGTCATGGTGTGCTGCATGTGCTTATTTTTTGGCCCCATGAACATTGTGGTAGCCAACTAAATGGCCAAATAACAAGCCCATTCAAGGAGACCATTTTCTAAAGGAGTCTTGGAGGAACAAATCTAGAAGATGGCTATTTTACAGGACTTTTACTGATCTGGTCTCAAAGAGCCCTGCACTCCAACTCACTTAATGGTTTAAAAAATTTAAACAATAAAAAGTTATTTGGAGCCTACGGTGATGGTGCATGTCTGGAGGCTGTGATGGAAGGATCCCTTGAGCCCAGGAGTTCAAGACTGCATTAAGCTATAATCACACGTCTGCACTCCAGCCTTGGTGACAGAGTGAGACTCTTTCTCTTAAAAAAAAAAAAAAAAGTTATTTAGATTTTAAATTTATATGTTCCAATCCTTCCAATAGGCAGTTTCTAAACATCTACAAACTGATATAATACATATATGTATGTGTATGTATATATACACATATGTGCATGTATATATCTTTTGACTCAGCAATCCCACTTCTACAGATTTACCCTAAGTAAATAATTACAAAAATCAAAAACACTTCCCACAGGAAATTTCATTAAAGCATGATTTATATTGTAGCAAAAATTGGAAATAACCTAAATATCCATAAATAGGGAAACTGGTTAAGTAAACACACACAATGGGCTATTATGTAGGCAATAAAATGATAATGCAAATCTATGCTAATATAAAAGGATGTCAGTAATACATATTCATGAGAAACAAGGTACAGAATAGTATCATAACAGTTATATAAATTGTGGAGTTCTTTTCAAGTGTGAGAGAATATGTATACAGAAAGAAATCAAGATGTATGCTCGCCAAATATTAACAGTGGTTATCTCTAGATGGTGAGGCTTTTGGTAATGTGACTTTTTCTGTTCTTTCAAGTTTAGGGTGCGTGTGTTTAGTGAGCACGTATAAATTTGTTCTTCTAAACTGGTGAAAAGGGATGTGTCAGAAACACTTTTATATTGTATGTTATTTTATAACCTTTTGGGAATATATGCACATGGATGAATTGCTATGAACATGGTCTCTACCTTGTTGGAGAATTGATATAGAGATGTATATAAACTCTCAAGGGTCTGTCAAAAGACATGAGCAGATATTTCCCAGAAAGTATACACAGATGACAAGTAAGCACAGATGACAAGTAAGCACAAGTAAAACATGTTCAACGTCATTAGCCATTGGGAGAATAAAAATTAAAATCACAATGAGATATCAGAATATATTATCATATTTAACCCATCAGAATGTTCTTTTAAAAAATAATGATAACGCCAAATGCTAGTGAAGATATGGAAAAACTGGATCATTCATTCATTGGAAGTGGGACTGTGAAATGATATGGCCTCTCTGGGAAACAATTTGGCAGTTTCTACAAAAGCTAAACATGTGCTTAGCACATGACCAGCAGTTCATGGACACTCTTGGATGCATATTCCAGAGAAATGAAAACCTATTTCACACAAAAACCTGTACATGAATGTGCATCACAGCAATATTCATAATAGCCAAAACCTGAAAACAACCCAGTTTTTTTTCAACTGGTGAATTGTCAAACAAACCATATATCCATATGGAATACTACTCAGCGATAAAAAGGAATGAACTATCGATATATGCAACAACTTGTATGAACCTCAGGGGAATTATGCTGAGTAAAAACTGTATGGTTATATTTATAAAACATTCTTGAAATAAAAAAATTATAGAGATGGATGACAGATTAGTGGCTGCCAAAGGTTAGATATGAGCAGGACAGGTAAGTGTGGCTACAAATGGACAGGTGGAAGGAGCCTTGTGTTTATGGTACGCTTTTGTATCTTGATTGTGGTAGAGGTTGTATTAAGTTACATAAAACTATACACACACATAGTGCATATAAAACTGGTGAAATCTGAATAATGTGCATGGATGGTACCAATGTCTTTTTTTCCTGGGTTTGATTATTGTTGTTACATAAGATGTTACCGCTGAGGGAAACTAGGTGAAAGGTACATGGAACCTCCCTATACATTTTTTTGCAACTTCCTATCAATTTATAATTATTTTTAAAATAATTTTTAAAGGGTCTGCTAATTTGAGGTCAGTTAGGAGGTGCCCTAGAGGATGAAATTAGCTGAAAGTTGAGGGATTCTACTTGATGCTTTGATATCCCTGCACAGGGTTCTTAGTAAAACATTCAAGAAAGAAAAGTGTCTGAATGTGGTGCCTCATCAGAATGTATTAAAATATTAATTACTCTGTGGTCCCAAGCAAAATACCAGAAACAGATATGCACAATAAGGGATTTCAAGTGCCTTCCTCTGGCTCTAAATACCTAAAATGACTGATCTCTTCCTGGGCAAAGAGGATTTTAAATGCTTATGCCCATCAGTGTTTGCTGAACTCAGATTTTTTTCATGACTAATTTTACATGGTCAATTCTCCTTGTCATTCAGCTTTGTGTGCAGATATCATCTAATTATAGAGGTGAGGTCTTCTCTGACCTCTCAGTCTCAAATAAGCAGCAGTCACACTCTGTCATATCACCTTAGCAGCATCTAAATCTACCTTGCATCATCTCATCATCTCAAAGTCATCAGAACCAATCTCATCGTTCCCCATCCTTAGAAGTCTGCTTCTCAGTACTCAGAGACACGGTAACTACTCAAGCAGCTCTCCTACTTGGAATTCTGAGTTCAGCTTGAGGGCTCTTCTAAGTTTTCAAGTCTGTCCCTTTGCTCATTCAACCCTTGGGGTTGCATTACTTTCGGCAGTAACTACGTCTCCTTTACCTTAGAGCACTCTTTTATCCTTTCTACTACTTATTTTTATATCTAGTCAACAATTCTTTATATTCCTATTTCTATGGAAGGGGGAGTTGAGACAGTTCCAACGGAGATGTTTGGCTGAGAAACGGAAGCAGTATCATCAAAGAGAAC